GTGTCTTCCTCAAAAAAAGGTAGGGAATGCCCATTTACTTTGGAAGCTCTCGATTCTGCTTTTGGATAATTTTTTTCGAGGCAAGGTGCGCAGCGACCCCGTTGCGCTAAGTAGCACTTGTCGTTAATTTGATGCCCCAAATTTATTATACTGTGTCTTCTGCGGGGACGGAATACGAATTAACGATTATTTCTCCGAAGAAAAGTCACCGACTTTGTAACGGGGTTACGCGTACCCTGGTAACAGGTGTGTGTGACACACGAGATGTGCATGGTGTGACTGCACCCAAACAAGAATACAGTATGTGGCCAGATAGCCAGCCAGTCGTTATGCACGTATTTAGATCTTACTATATATATTTAGAAAAATCTAAACTTTTTAAATTGAGATAAAAAAACTAAATATAAATCAGCTTTGAATTTAAACCGATGAGTCAATTAGCCTTGGGAAGGCAATAATTACTCTTGGAGTAAACGGATCGGGATCGGCTAGCTCGTACTTTTCTAAGTATAGAACGAAAGGTCGGTGATCTAAATTACGCTTCCTCAAGCGCTAAGCTACGGCAGCCCCGCTGCAGACTTCATCTTTTCTGTGATCCCGGGAAGATAATATTGGGAGCCCAAGGGATGAAATAGTAATTGCTCGCCGGATGGTACTAACCAGCTGTGGTAATCTTTGAGAGCGCCTTAAAATGCGTTAATAGGGAGCCCGCGGTCAAAGTCCTTCTTTTTGCTTCCGGACAGCTCACGGGAAGCACATCCCATGAACTGTCCGCAACACACCGCGCCCGCTCCGAACAACGGATTTTCTCGTCGAGGAGTTGGGTGAGGTCGACTACGAGTCGGGGACTTCTTTCCCAGCATGATAAGAAGAGGAGGATGAAGTGCGTCAACGGCTTGACGTCAGATCAGCTCAAACTTGTGGACTCCGTGTCCGTTCCCCGACCTCCCAGTTTCAGGGGAAGTGGTATTATTGCCAAACGCCTCGACGAGGCACAGGAGCAGCAACTGGAGGCTGCACAGGGCGGCTCTCCTGCGCTCGAATCCACGTTTGGTCATAGACCCTCGTGTGAAGTACGGCCTCCGCTCGGCAGATCCCGCTACCGAAGCGAAGGACGCGATCATTTGATTGTTAGGCGTCATTGTAGTCGGCCCCCCGGCCACTACACAAACTGAGCTTGATTAGCGGAAACTCTCCGAGCTCGCCTATTGGTATTACGAGAAATCCCATTGGATCGATACCGCGCTCGACTTCGAGCTCAAAAAGAAAGCGCTCCTCTACCCGCAATGCGGACTATTCTTGTGGTGTTCGCCTCTGGCAAAACCGCTGCAGATGATGATGAGCTCTTTGAGCGATGGGTGCATCAGCACCGGAAAATTTCTTCGCTGTCTACCCTACAGCAAAGTCACAAGGAAGTGGACGAGCGCGTAGAGCGCCATGTTTGATTTGAGTTTGCTAAACTCAAGGCGCAATGCCGAGTTCCTGCGTATTGTTGCCCAGCGACACCTGGAATAATCCATCACGCTCCTGCGAGCTCTGTGGTTTCTCACACGGGTGAGTGTACGACCACAGCAGCTCATGGCCATAGCTTGAGCTCAGCTCATGACCCTCCGGCTTTCCGGGCTACCGCCGAGAAGCGCGGGGCTCGCGACGACAACAAGGCGTCATTGATCCTTCTGATCATAAGCATCCGCGACGTCTGGACAGTCTTGCTGAAGTGGCACCTCAAACTCTCACGAGTTCTCGGAGTTTGGGTATCCCCGCTTCTTTTCAAGATATTGGGTTAGACCCTATCGACGACGTCGGTCTACAAGGCGTTCCACGTGGTAGTGGACGCCACCATTCTCATTGAGAAGAGTCGGCGGCGGGCGATGACGACTTTCGTCGATCGCCGTCCGGTGACTCACGATGCACTTCGAGCGTTGGAGGACAAGGTCCGTCGTCATCGGCACTCAACCGAGCATCTTGCCGAGATCGCCTACCGCTGTGCGAAAGACCTCGAGAGCCCGGAGCGCTTTGTGCACCGACTGCATCACGTTGAGGATTATCCGTCTCTGTCGGAGCGGTTCCTAGCCGTCGAGCAGACGAATACATCACTTTGCGGGACGGTGGAGCGCCTTGCGCCGTTTAAAACAGAAAATGTTGCACTCAGTGCTCAGAACCAGTTGCTGGTTCGACTTCTGAGTGGTTGGCGCCAACGCTTCCGCGTTTACTTGCGCCGGATCTCAAGTGGGTGCGCACCCTTCTCGAAAGGTTTAGTGTATACACAAGGCCTCGCTTGACCACAACCTTAAGAGGTTCAATAAACCACAATCTCAGCATAGCTGAGATCCATTGGCTCCAGCCCGCTCGACGAGCTCTGAGGGTGTGCATTCCAACCAAGTCGTGCCGACTAAAAGTTGAATTCGGCATGCAATGCCACATTCACCGCTTTTTCAAAAGAAGACGGATGCACACGGAAGACTTCCATTCTGGCTACGCCAGTGCTTGAGCCTTCAATAAAGATGGTCACTGTGACCAACTCGGGGAGAGGATTGGCTGCTATCCGGGTCATCCGGAGACCGATAGTCGGACTGAGCGCGTAAATCACGTCGTTAAAAACGTTTTTCGTAGCGTCTGCACTGAGACGCCAAAGCACCGGAGCGCTATATTGCCAGTCGTGAGTTTGCTCAAATAAATGCAGTGCATTCATCTTTCGGCTATACGCCGTTCTAAGTGAACGAACTTGTTTACCCTCGCTTCGCGTTGGCGCCGCCATCCCATGGCTCATGGATTGGTGGAAAAGAATAGCCGAACGGCTAGCTAATGTAAATGTAAGGAAGTCGATGGCTTCTTGTCTACCAGACTGAGTGTTCTACGACACGTTCGTGATGCGATGGCTGAAAGCCATGACATGCATAAGGAATATGCAGATGAAAGCAGCAGAAGAAATGGAAAAATGCTTGAGGTCATGGTTTTATGAAATGCTAAAAGCATTCCTAAAGCTCCGTCCTAGTTCAGAGCTGCCGAGCAGCGTTTAAAAACCCGACCCGTCACCTTTAGACTGGTTGTCCGCGCGTCAAGGTTCATTAACCGACGTCCCGCTTCTTACCAGTATTCTGGTTTGTCGCGGTAAAACGATAAAACCCAGTAGGCGCAGGGCGAAATCTTGGGAAAGAACTGAATTCTGTTGTTTTTCAAAGAGGTAGAGGGCAACAGGAATTAAAAAATTTTCTAAAAAAATAAAAATGCCCAGCCTCGAAGAACTCCGAGCTCTCGAACACGGAATGTGATGCAAGCCGGGCTTGCTGGTCGAAATAGCGACCATCATTGGCTCTCAAATGCCATGGAAGACCCTTATCGGTTCCGGTGCGTCGGGTAATTATGCTTGACGCTCCAAGATCAAAAGAAGTCAGCTGTATGCTGAGGCGCTGGAAGCGCGGTTGAGTGACACTGTCACTGTTCGCTTAGCTACGAGGACTTGTGTCACTGTGCCGAGGGTCCCTGTGGACCTCGGTGTCAAAGTCTCTTGACTTCGATAGCGTGAAACGCTTAGTCTTAGACTTGGATGCATGGTATGACCTCATCCTATATATCTTAATCTGCGATTCTTTATCAGAGTCTTACCAATTAGCAACAACTTTTCTGTTATGGAACGCCAAGCTTATTATAAAAATGTTAGTATCAGTTCAAGAAAAATGTCTAGCGCACGGTGATTTCCACGTATCTGGTAGCATTACTGCCAACTAAATTGATGTCTGTTCAAGGTAAAGACTGTCAACGCTCATCGACAAAATGTAGCAGATCATCAGCTCAATCTCAACACCTATCCAATATCATCAGCATGATTGGAACACCATGAGCCTTGGATTGATTGGAGATTAAATACTTTTGCGCACGTCTCCAGGTGGAGTTTTGGTGAGTCAAGAACCCACCACTGCTAGGAAGCAGAAGCGCTGTTGGCGCGGGAACACGACCGTGACGGTCAATGTGCTGGGTATCGGTATATCCGAATTTTTGAGCACCAAAGGTGTTTAAGACAGGAGTCTCGAGCGTGGCTCGCGAGTAGCACGAAAGCAACTGAGCGCTGCCCAAGTTTTTGGAGCAGTCGCTGCATGCCAAGAGTGGCATGGTCGTACGAGGTATGAGGCATCAAGGGCGAGGCCCTGGTGATGCGCGTGGAGTGTCACGTAATCCACTGAGCACTGCTCACGTTTTAAAGCAGTTGCAGCATGCCAAGGGTGGCATGGTCGGGCGAGGTTCGAGGCATCCTGCGCAAGGCCCTTCTGATGCGCGTGGAGTGGCAAGTTATTCACTGAACGAAGACAGCGGAAATAGCAGCTCTTCGTCGGATGTTGTAAATAACATCAAAACCCCGATGCAGTAGGGAGTGGGGACACCGGACGACGCTGAGTTTGTGCTCCCACCGGTCTCACGAAGACGTGAAACCTCCATAGAGAGGAGACGGCGTTGCCGGTTGTTATCTGCAAGACGCAGGGTGTCGACCCT